CTTTTTTCTTTACCAAAAATAGCTCAGCTTTTTTTAAACTCCTTTTTCTCTGCAAAACAAGGGTCGTTTGTTTCATTATAATAATGAAACGTATTCTAAAAACGTTGTTGAACCAGAAACACTTTCGAAACGATTATAAACCTTTAAAATATTTTTTGGTAAAAAGAATGAAGTGGAAAGAAACGCTGCCTGCTTACATTGTTTTTCCTTTATTTTATTCTATTCACTTCATTGAAATCCAGAAAATTGAAAGCTTTTCTGCACTCAATTCTTTTTTACTTCTCAAGTTTCTATAAATGAAAGTCTGATGATTTATAACATTGCCGCAGATCTCATTACGAAAGTGGACATAGCAGAAACTTTTGAAATTTTTGCAAATCTGAAACTCTATTTTAAAGATGGAAGTCTTGAAGGGAAGAAAGTGAATAGAAATTACGCCTGTGCTGACATTAAATTTAAAAAGTTAGATTTGTTCCAGGAGAGCAGCATCTTGTTTTAAGTGAGCTATTAGCAACACGCAAAGATTAGCGAAAGATTTTTATGTTTGAGTACACTAAACTAAAAAAAATTTTTTAAAAACTGCAACCTCTCGAAGTAGTCTGGAAAAAGTAAAAATAACAAAGCTTATTAGTTTAAAGTGTTTTAGCTATTCACCATCTAAATAAATGCAAAAAATCTAATTCAGTAAAAAGCGCGCTTCTGAGTTCAATTTTGCTCATTTTCTATGCTTTCTCAAGTTCGGTTCTCTTTAGCAGATAAAATCTTACTGTGAACAGCTTTGCGGCTATTCTGCAAAAGGATACGTGGACAGCATTAGACGCTTGTTGAAAGATCATTATGAATCGAACGGAGAAGAAAGTAGAAGAGCAGAAGTTAGTATTTCAAATAGCAACTGTCACTTCTGTAATCTGAACTTTCTAAAATCAGCTCAAAGTGATTCTGAGAAAATTTGATCTGAGTAGTTGATTTTATCATAGCGTTAACTGAAGAATATTTGTTTAGAACAAAAAAATAATTTCAACTGCAATTAGCTGCCAATAAAGAATGCATTCTTTTAAAAACAAACAGAATTAACAATTCTATAAATCACATTTTCGCAAGATTTTTTACATAATTTTGCTTTCTCACCATATGCTTTATGTCACATTATGCTTTATAAAGTTGGAATTTCTTAATTGTCTTGTAACTCTTGGGTACTTCTTGAAAATCAGTAAGAGTTTTCTTAACTTTGCAGTTGCTCACGTTTGTCGTCCTATAGATTTTTGGTTGCGGTGATCTGTCTCTTATTTGCTGAACTAATTGTTAATAAATTTTTTTCTGTGTTTAGCAAGAAGTTTGCTCTGAAAACTTTTAAATGATAAATGCAGAAGCCGTTCCAAGGTATAAGCGAGAATAGAGGTTTAAATTTGGTTTTAGCTAATAAAAGCCTGTGGTCAATAAACGTCAGCCTAGTACAGTACAGCTTCTTGACCATCATCTGACTTGAGCACTCAAGTCATTGGTCAAAAAAATATAAGATGTTACAGATTTCTTAAAGAAAGTAATTTGTGAAGAATGGTTTTAAACTGGTGACTGGTACTGCATTCACTCGACACAAAATTTTTGCTTTCTTCTGTTGCTTTATGCGCACCTTAATTGTATTTTAAATTTCAGGTGGAAGCACTGTCGGTTGCGTGTGAGAAGGGTCACATAAAAGTTGTCGAAGTTCTTCTGGAGCACAAAGTGAAGGTTGGTGAAAAGAATGTTGATGTGGTAACAAGCTAAACATCAAATCTTATTTGGTTTACTGTCAATTGAATGCTCCAAGCAGTAACAAGATCTTCGCTCTGCAGTGCATTATCACTCTAAACAAATCTTTTTTATGACGATCATCTTTTTTGAAATTTCAACTGTTGGAGTATTTTGACAAAGACTTGCTGACACTTCAACTTTCTGAACGGCTAACTCTTTAGAAGTATAGGTTTGTTTATAAACAAAGCATGACTGATAGAAACTTTCACTTTTGTACCAGACAAAGAGAGCAAAAATTACTGTGACTGAGTTTGTATGCAGTTGAACTCGGTGCCTAATTTTTCGTAACCCTTCATCCTCCTACTAAAAATGCAGTCGAAAAAGTTCTTAACTCTTTAGTGTGCGCTTGTGCTTATGTTCTAAAAGCGCTTAGAATGAAATTTTGTCGATTCGTGATTAAAAGAAACTTAGGTCCCCGCTGACAGGCAATAAACAGAACCGCAGTACGCAAAAAACAAGAATCCTGATTCTAAAAAACGAAGGTTACAAAAACGAAATTGTTTTTTTTTGACCGAAGTATACTTTTACAAAAGCTGAGCAGAGTGAAGGACTGGAAATAGACACAAAACTAAGAAGCATTAAAATTAAAAACAATTGGTTTTTTACCGTCTTTTACTTTTCCAAGCCACTTCTTCTTTCTTATGTAAGTGAATAAAAAGAAGAAGCAATTCGATTGCAGGTAAGCGTAAAGAGTAGTGAAAGCCTTCTTTGTAAGGGAGAGTTCGCTGCCTGTTATTGAAAGAAAGAAAATATTTGCTCCCTGACTTCTGGATGTAACCAAAACTATAGTGCGACTTATAGGTTTAACCAGCTTAAAGCTCTTAATTATAAGCTTACAATCACTTCAGATGGTGTTGAAATTATCTAATTCAAGCTCTAAATAATCATCATTGTTTACCAAGTCTCTGTTCGTCAAGGCAGTTGAAACTTTGCTGGTTGGCCTCAGAACCGAATTAACCAGCTGCTTTCCGCTCTTTTCCTTCTACCGCAATTTTATCTTGGCAAAATTCTCGTGATGAAGGACTAATAACTGAAGCGTTAGTGTTCACAAAACGACAACGCTTCTCATCGTCTTATTGCTTAGAATACAGTTTTGAACAGTTAAAAAAAAAATTTTCTGTGAAGCAGATTTGGTCAAAGCAATTCCATTTTTTTTGTATTTTAAAGCTTTATGATAAAAAGCGGTAGTGAAAAAGGTATAAAATTTTGAGAGCAAAAAATTAATTATATAGACAAAAAGTGCCTGAGTAAAAAGCAGAGAGAACATTTGATACAGTGATTTGCGAATTGAATAAATTAACACTTAAAATCATAATTCCGAAAATAGAAACTAATAATTTCTAATATGATTGTAGCTTTTTCAACTTAGTCAAAGTATAAATATGTAAGGTTAGTTTTCAAAAGAATGAAATTTTTACAAAACAATTGAATAATTTGAAATGTAGATGGTTTTTGGAAAGTTGAAAAGAACCTTGCACAACATAAAAAAAGAAAAGAGTAAGTACAAGATACAGCATAAAATTTTCAATAATTTGAAAGGTTACAGCGAAAAGACGGGTTTTTTTTTTTGGAAAATGACTGCGTAGAGCAGTGTAAAAAGAGAGATCTGTCGTCGGAAACTATTTAAGCAAAAGAAAAATTTTGGTGGAAGCGATTAATTGCTATACAAGTTTAGGAGTATCCTCTATTTATCGTAATCCAAACGCTAAAGTTTAATTTGCAACATTTCCAGGGGCGAAAAATGTGTTATCTACTTGAGCAAGGTTTTGCTAGAACGACTTTACTCGTGCCCTAATGACGGCTTCCACTAAAATTTTTAAAGTTTTAAAGTGAACAGTGATTCGTGGTTTATAACCTATTGGCACGCAGTGACAGAAATTGGCCTGGAAATGCATTATAAAACGGTTTGCCGTTTTAATCAACTTGAATAGAGTTAAATGTTTAAGAATCTGACTTAAATTGATTATAAAAAACATTTTTATCAGAAGACTCCACTTTATTTAGCAACAACAAAAGGTAATATCAAGTTGATAAAATACTTAGTCTACAAAGAGTCTAATTTGAATGC